GTGTGCAAGCGAACTGGTCTAAATTTATCAGTTTTTTTTTTTTTTTTTTGGGAAGAGACATAAAATTTTATTGAGATTGAGTTAAAAGTACAAACATCATTACAATACACAAGAGTCCAATGGAAGCCAAATCCTAACAAATGGCACAGAACACTAAAATGACTAAACTGCCTTTCACATAACAGCAGCCATCATATCAGTAAAAAAAAGATAGCAACAGAAACAATGGAATTTCCCTAATCTCTGAAAAGTCTAAAGCCCACAAAAATATCAAAATTCAACTTTGCTACCTAAGAACTCCAATTCCTCCCAAATGCCAAAAATCTTTCTAACCACACCAACCAAATCATCACAATCACACCACATCTGTCTAAGACTTCTCCGCTTAAACTTTCCTCATTACAAATTGCAGAACAACTGGTAAAACCCAATTAACCTCAACAATGTCCACCACAACTCTAATGCGAACAGGCAATGAAGAAACAAATGGTCAGTATTTTCTGCCATTAACTTGCACATTAGACAAGCAATGAAGAGGGGCAAGCCAAGTTGAGCCTCATTTTTTCATTATTAAATTCCCCAGATTAGAAAGTTTGCTTCAAACCTTCCAATATATTCTCCACCACTAGACCCCAAAAACAATTCTCACCTAGGGATTTCCTGCAAAAGGCAGTCCCAAATATTTCATTGACCAACTCCCTCCCCACATCCACTCATATCCCTCTGAAGCCTGGAAACTTAAAAGGGGGAAAACCAAAAAATTCAATATGCAGAGTTAATGAAGATTTTGAATCAAAACAATTATTACAACAGGTTAGAACGGTTTTTTGGTTAAAATATTTATACAGCGAAACACTAATGTAATACTCCACATCTCTTCATGCCTTCAACTATCAGTTTCCTCTGCACCAGAATATGGACATGTGGCGAGTGGTCACTATCTGACACAATAACAGCAATGTGCACAACATGTCAAGAGCAGTTTGAGTTCCAATTACAAAGTCACTTGGACACCTGTTTCTTTAAATATTTACCTATTTCTTTCTGTATTCTCTTTCCTACTTGAAACATAAAAAACAAAGCAGGTGAGCAGGACAGTAGGTTTCAAACTACATCTCACCCGCCATGCCAACAACACTTCTCCACTAAAGAGCATACTCCCACTGAAGAATGAGTCATTTTCTTTTTTCTATTTTCTTTTTAATCTTGGATTCAATATGTGGAAATATATAGCTATGTATGATCTGAAAGCACCAGAAGTGAAGTGAAATAAGAACTTGTGTGGTTTGATCTCAATAGGCAAACACTCAAATTAGACCAGGATTTGTCCGCCATTTGAAGCATACCCATGGTAACAAGTGCCAGAGGAATTTCTTTGTTCCATTTTGACCATATGGATCTATTTGCGGCATTTTAGAGAAAAAACTATCTAATTTAAGAGTAAGTCTGAAAAGGCTGCAGAAATAATCTCCCAAACACATGAAAGAAAGTACACTAAAATTTTTCTTACACAGTAAAAAAATTAACCATATATCTTATTCATGGCATTTCAGAAAAATTGTTTAACTTTAAATAAAGTCTGAAAAACCTAAAGAAACATATCTACAAAACACAATCTTTTTTTTTATTGAACAATAAAGGAAAATGACCATATAGATATTAAGATTAGCATTTCATAAAATGGTCATGTAAACTATTTCTAGAAACTCACGGAGTACAATTAAGGATTTGATATTCATAGCATAATACAATCTCAATCCCACCAGGTAACAAATGAAAGATTAGGGATTGAAATCCAAGTACATCAGAAAAGCACAGGACAGCCACATATATGGGATAAACGCATAAGTCTTGAAAATTAAAATGCATAGGCCAGCCACCTATATATAATATGATAAAAGCACCAGACGCACTGACGGCAAACTTGAAGTATGGAACCACCAACTACACATACCAATCAAAACGCATTAAAAAGACACCAAAAGAAGATTGAATTAAAACTTAAGCGCTGGACTGAAAAGACTGACCTTTCTCGATCTACAGGGAGAGAAGACCTGTGTGGAGAAGCATGGACTCCAGGAGGTGGGTACTGGAAGTAACTCCCAGGGGGAATTCTCTCTCCCATCACACAAGAACTACTGTATATGTGAAAGAAACCAAAGATTAACAAAACCACTACAAAAATAAAAACCACCCAATTTGACATAAAATTATGCAACTTAAATGAGCAAACCCAGTCGAGAAAAACACCAATAAAGTAAATACCTTGACAAGCAAATAGAACCCACTCTGAAGAAAATACACAGCATACCAATAGAACAAAACAGAACCCAGCAAGAAAAGAACAATCAATATGTATATATATACATAGAGAGAGGGAGAAAGACTTACCGGATGGGAAGGAGAGAGGAGGAGGGAGGTGGGGGCAGAGAGATTCAAATCTGTTCTGCCCCTTATTGGAAGTGGAAGTGATGCGAGAGAGTGAACAGAGAGACAAAATCCCTACTACAGCATGGGTCTCATGGGATCCCTTTGCTGTATTTATACTCAATCAAATCACTACTTTTAAATATATATTTTTTCTGGACGGGAGGGGTTCATCATTTGGCCTGTGAGCCCATGGGCCTATGGGAGCCCACCCCAGTCCATTGAAGAAAAGCCCGACCCGGTTCGTTGTGACCCATGAAAGCCCAGCCTGATTAACATGCCAACAACCTAAGAACTTATTAGGTTTTATTCGGTCTTATGGTAATAAAACCGTGTCTTCACAACTACATTTCGTAGTTTGACATTCAAAATACGATCGTTTATTGCGATTATTTGTAGTAGTGTAAATTCAAATTCTTCTTTATGGAGCATTTTCCCGTGTAACCAAGTTGTTTGCACAAATTATGTAACATGGATTGAAGAGAAACCTAGTTGGCTGACCCGTGTTCTTGCTGAAAAGATGTTTGAGTTTCATTATTTGTGAATTGACATCTCTTTCCCTTCTTAAAAGAAAAAAAGGACTGTTAGTGTCCATTAGCATTATATTACAGGAATACAATCAACCAACTATAACATTTGCATTACAATGATCCACTGATTTACTCACGAGTCACTCCTTCAAGCCTAGAAGCAATTTCCTTCTCGTCCACCAAACCTTTGTTAAGCTACTCAAACCGTTGCCTCAGCTCGGCCTGCGCATTGAACAAGCCTTCCTTTTCTGCCTCCCTCGTCTTCCTCAACCCGGCCACATCCCGCGCACCATCTCCACAAGCTTACTGATCGCCTTTCGCCTGAATACGTCGGTCTGAACCCGAGAAAACGACCCGCTGCTTCCATAAGAGGACGGCGGGTATGCCCTTTGGGGATCGCAGGGCGGGCAGGAGTAACCGACCCTCGTGAAATCGCCGAGAAGGAATGACTAGGGTTAGGGTTTGGATTGGGATCGGGATTGGGATTGGGCCGGCTTATAGAGAAGAGAGGCGGGTCTTGACCAAAGACAGCACTGAGACTCTCGGCGAGCTCGACGAGATTGGAGCTTGGGTAAACCCAATTGTGCAGATAAGGTATGGAAACCAAACCAGAGGGGTTGACATGGGCGTGAGGGTGCTTGATGACCATGTCGCTCATGGGGTTGACGTAGACGCAGGGCGGGTGGTGGGGGTAGGACTCCGTGAGCCAGATGATGACAGGGATGTTGTAGGTGACGCCGTGAAACGACATGGGGATGGTGCCGTCGGCCTGGAGGAGGTTGACGGAACGACCGTCGTTGTGGGTGAACGTCGCCGTTTTGGGGTCGAGGCAAGGGTACTTGGAGGTGAGAGAGACGAGGTGCGTGCGGATGAGGCATTTGGTGTCTTCGGAGTAAGGGAGGGCGGAGGGGCCTCGCTGCCAGAGGACTGAGCTCAGGAACTGAATCAGTTGCGGGTTCTCTGGGGTTGGACCGGCGGCCGAAACCATATTGGAGATTTGGTATTCACAGAAACAGGGAGAGAGAGGCTGACGCTATATTGGCCGGAAACAGGTTTCCTATATCCGAAAATATTGTTTATGACAATTTTCTATGTATTTTTTTAAGAGGCCATATTTATAATACAATAAAACTTGTAGGTCAAGAAAAGTAATAATTCTTAATTCTATTTATATAGTAGGAAATCAGTAATTATTCAATATAGGAATCCTTGTCATGCAAGGCAACGCACCCAACGTACAAAAATTACTCCTATAGTGCACCCTGTGTATCATTACACCGGTTTTTTTTTTTTGGAACTTGTTAACCGGTTCTCAAGGTAACATGTTTCCTACTTCTTCCTCTTCCTTTTTTTATCTTTTGCTTTTTGGGTTTTAAAATTTTATAATTAATCTTTTGATTGTTCAAAAAATATCTGCATTTTTTTTTATAAAATTGCAAACAACTGAACTGTTCTTTTATTTTTGTATGTCACGTTTACGTGTAGTATTAATAAATATCCACTTATATTATAATGAGGGAAATTTGGATAAATATGACCTGAACTTTGAGGCATGTGTGTCATAAGCACCTGAATTTTTTATTTTAATTTTTAACCACCTAAACTTTGTAAAAGTGTTGCAATCCACCATCTATGTCTAACTACATTAAACTTTCCCTTAAACTTAAGGGCATTTCCATCAATTCATGATGACTAAAAATAATTTTAAATTAAAAAAATATTAACCTAAGCCTTCCCCCTCTCATGCGAATCCAAACAATCCCCTTGCAAATTTGAATGCTAGTCACTCTACACTAGGTATGCAATAGGGACCAGGTTCTGCAATTCCTAATTATATCATATAGTTATATATGTTATTGGCATTGCATTGGGCCGGCCACAGAGTATACATTCCTAATATTTGCTTCTCTCCGGTTGGAAATTATCAGAATGTGAGTTAAGGAGATTAAACTAGATGGACCATTAATTAAAATAGTGTGAGCAAATATGAAGAAGTTGGGCTAATTTGTTCTGTTTTGTTTGAATTGCATGCACAATATTCATGATGAAAGGTACTTAGTGTTGTAATTGTTTTATGTATCTGATAGGGTAGGGCAGCCCTCAACTTGTCCGTTGAGGATAAACTCCATAGAGCTACTCCCAGATTTCCACAGGCACAACTCTTGTGTATTTCTAATGATGGTATGTTCTTCTTGTTCCACAGTCCACACCCATTGAGCTTCAAATAGTTGGATGAGATATTGTACATGTGCTGCATTCATTCGATTATAAGTTTCCAAAAGGTCTTTGTCATTTTCAATCCGAGTTTCGGTTTGGATAACATCACAGAAAAGTAAAAAAAAATCAACCTTAAATCAAATCCATTGCTCAAGGATTGTTCACAAACCAAGATGCTTATATCAGGTGAGGCCTGGAAAGTGTTAAATGCCAAATGTTTTCCTAAACAATACCATCTTTACAACGTGAGTCAAGAAAAATAAAAGGAACTTAAATGAACGAAAAGTTACAGGATGACCATTACTAGTAGTCTTTGTTATTCAAAACACTGGTCAAGAACCAATTTCAGCATGTCAAAATACTACTTTTTATTACGCTTGGCAGCACGCCTTCTATGACCCTTCTTGGGTGGTCCTTTTCCTCGACGCTTCAACATTTCAAGCTTGGATAATCGTCTGGAAAGATGCCAAGTAGAGATGCATCATGAATATAGTCACCAAAAGCTACTTACAGTTGTGATTATACAAACAAATCATGAAACCATCACAAGCTATATTCTGGTTACTTAACTTCATGTAGCAAAGCAGTCATTATGAAACTATACTAGATCAAAAACTAGCGTGCAAGAATCAAATGAGAAAGCAGTTCCAATTTCATAATAACTACTCAGTTGTTGCCTATGCATTACTAAGATAAAGAGCAGCTCGTTTGGGAGTGATTCTAGATAGGCCAATAATAACTTCTATGGAGAATCACTTCTTCGTATAATCACTTTGAAGTGGTTTTAAGTGATTTTATGGAGAAGCACATGGGAGGTGCTTCTCCCCATAATCACTTAAAATCACTAAAAGTGATTCTATGAAGAAGCACATGGGAGATGCTTCTCCCCAACAGTGATTCTAGTGTATCTAGAATCACTCCCAAACAAGCCTAGTAACATTTTACTATTAATCTTCTACTTGCTTCCATACTGTATGAATAAAATAAATACCATAGTGCTGAGCTGACCTTCCATAATGTAATTTTCACAAATAAGGAAATAAATATCATGATATTCTTCGGAAATTGAAGAAAGAATACAACAACAAAACATAAAAAGCAGAGACGTTCAGAAAGGGAAGAGGGTGTACTCTTGTTCTTCCATAGCCATGATTTGGGGGTCATTTTTCTTGATGTCATATGGCTACCACTGAGCAACTTTCTCACTAATCAACTTCTTGCGTAAAATCTTATGGGCAGATTTCTGCCCTGTTGGGTTGATTATGTGCCCGAATATCCTCGCCCTAGCCTCAGTCACCCCAGTACTGATTGCCGTGGACAGCAGGCTCTTTAGACCACAAGTGGCCATCTCACTTCACCTCTCTAATTCAAACAACAAAACACTTTCAGCTTTTTAGGATTATTGTGGTGAAGTCAAAAACCATCATTCTTTTCACATACTGATTTTAAGATCTAAAAACTTGTTTGGTATTGAACTTCAAACTATTCTTAACATCTAAAAAGAATTTAAATTTAAATCAGAAAATCAGAAACCCTATATTCCCAAATTGAAATCAACAAAAGAAAAGGAGAAATCGGAGCCCAATCCAAGTGGGAAGGAAGAACCGCAAAAGGGGGCAAAGAAATTACCAGAAGAAGGGGTCGAAATGGGAGGAGGGCCAGAAGGAGTGGAAATAAGTGGGGGCGGCACGGCGACGATGCTCCTGGTGGCCGAGGAGAGCTGAAGACAGCTTGAGGAGAGAGGGCGGAGCGAGAGGGAGCATGTCTTAACTTCTTTTGTTATTTTTTTTAGGGTTATTCGCAGCAATGATCCCTCAACTATACCTATATTTACAGTTTGGTCACTCAATTCAATTATTAGTTGCAGATGTCACTCAATTAGGTGTTTTGTTGCACCGTTAGTCCTACCGTCAAGTCTCTCTAACGGTAGGGACTAATGGTACAACACAACACCTAATTGAGTGACCAAAATGTACTCCGAGTATAGTTGAGGGATCATTGCTACAAATAATCTTAACTGAAAAGTCACATTTGCCCATCAAAGATATGTTTGCCACGTCATCATTTTAAACAGAAAAAGTAACAGACTTGACGGTAGGACTAACGGTGCAACAAAACACATAATTGAGTGACCTCTTGAACTAATATTTGAGTTGAGTGACCAAAGTGTAACTTTGGATATAGTTGAGGGACCATTGCTGCGAATAACCATTTTTTTAAAATCTAAACTTTCTTGTTATTAATGCATTTATCCTAATACATTTTCCAAATACCATTAATTTCACATGGTATCAAAGTAACGAGTCTAAACACACGTGCTCTCTTGCTTTTGCCTTAATTACATTTTGTCCCATCTTTTGCCCTAAACTCCAAAAAATTTAGGCCAGTTCAATAACGTTTTTGGAGAATATTTTATGAGAATAAAAAAAATAGAAGTTTAAGGATTTAAAAATGTGTCTGGTAGATTAATTAGAAAACAGATTCAGAAAATAAAAATAGTGAAAACGTGTTTGGTAGGACAATTTGAGAATAATAATACGTGAGTTATTTTTCAAGATATCTTTTTGCTAATTTTTGTCCTTTTTCTTTTATTCTGATATTTTAAAGGCTAAAATTATTATAAACAATGAAAATGTATACTTTGAGAATAATAATGTATAATTAAAATAATAATAAAAAATTTAATTTTAGAAAAACCTAGATAATAAAAAATATTATCTTTAGTTTAAAATAAATATGAAATTGAATAATATATGATGGTTTTATCATAAAATTAATATACACTGATGTAGCAAAATAAAATAAGGAAGTGGAATGAAAAACCTGAAAATTCAAAAAAAAAATTGACAAATGAAAAAATGAAAAATTAGACCAACAAAAAAAGAAAGCAATCATACCAATACATTGGGTAGAAAAAGGAAACGATAATTTGGTGTTTTCAGTTTTTGTACATGAGTTTGAATTTGTTTTCAAAAAACAATTCCAGTGAAAATGAAATGACATACCTAACTCGTTTTTAGTAGAAAATGAAAACGGGGCCTTGAAAACGTTACCGAATGACCCCTTAGGATTTTGCCTTACACATGTATTGCCTTATCTTTGGCATAAAAACTACGGGTCCATTTGGTATCCTATTTGGATTTATTTTTGTTAACTCAACAATAAATTGAGTCCAAAACCCATATTTTGCATTTGGTAAAATCCATTTTTCAAAAGCCCAACTCAATAACAACTCAAGAAAATATATATATATATATATATATATATATATATATATATATATATATATATATATATATATATATATATATATATATATATATATATATATATATATATATATATATATATATATATATATATATATATATATATATATATATATATATATATATATATATATATATATATATATATATATATATATATATATATATATATATATATATATATATATATATATATATATATATATATATATATATATATATATATATATATATATATATATATATATATATATATATATATATATATATATATATATATATATATATATATATATATATATATATATATATATATCCAATTACATTAAATTGAATTATAAAATTTAACTCAATAACTTAAAATAATCTCAATTGAATTTGACAAAACTAAATAAATAATATATTATATCATAAGTATACATGGCTATATTATTTATATATTAATTAAAAATAAATATATTACTTATTGGCCCTGATATGGGGATGGGGATAACAATGCCATCTTGTCCTGACCCCGACCAAGGAATTTTCAAGTTTGTGGATTCCCGTACCCGTCCCCAATTTTCGTCTGAAATCTCCCCTCATTAGGGTTGGAGACCCAATAGGGATACGGCCCAGTGGATATTTATGACATCCCTACTCTTCATCTCACAGATTTCAAATCGGATTGGCTCTAATTTTTTTCCTTTTGCTTTTGTTAATTTTAATTTGGGAATCTAAGGTTTCAAATTTTTAATTTCAGTTTTTTTAAAATTTTAAAAATAGTTCGGAGTTCAATACCAGACAAGTTTTTAGATCTTACAATCAATATTTCAAAATTCGTGTTTTTAAAAAGAATCATGATTTTTTAGTTTATTTTTTTAAGTAGAATACAAAGTGGGCCCTTTATTTCTTCGAGGTTTTGCTACGCATTAAAATTTGCGTGTTAGAGCATCCATAATCATGCTGTCTATTTTTAGTTAAATTTTAGCTAAAAACATATAAAAGTTATTTTAGGAGCTCTCTATAAAATTTAAACTCCAATCATGCTCTTTAGTTTAGGGAGTCATAAATGCTATAACTCTTTTTTAATTGGTCCATCTCTATTAAAAAATAATATAAAAATTAATTAACATTAATTAAAGGTTTGAAATACTTATTAAATAAAACAGCATTAAATTATAAAGAGCGATTAGGAGTCATTTCTTTCTGCTCAGATTTAGGAGCTCCTAAAGGACTCCCTATTTTAGGAGGTGGATAGGGAGTATGATTGGAGTTGCATTTTTCCAAATCCTCCCTAAAATTTGTCTAAGGAGGTGGTTTAGAGAGCCCATTATGCTGCTACTACCAGGTGTCATTTAGGACAAGTCCACGTATGCATACTCCCTACTGTATCATTTCTTCGTACTCAAAAACCCAGAGAGAAAAAGAGTCTTGAAAGCCCAAACCAAAACACAACCGTTTTCGAACTCACTCTGCGTCTACAGCTTTTCATGCATGGCGATTGGTGAATGGGGGTTCAATTGAGAATTAGGGTTCGAAATCGACCTCGATCAATGCTCTTTCCACGGCAAGAAGATGTAATCTAACGGAGATTTTGGTGTCTTTTTTAAAACAATTTTTTCTAAAACCGTTCGGCTCTGCGTAGGTTTAATTAGTTTCTAGGGTTTTTCTTTTTGGGGCTGAAATGTTGAAGGACCAGTTGGATCGAACCAAGGTGGTGCTACGGCACTTGCCGCCTTCGATTTCGCAAACTTCACTGGTGGAACAAATCGACGTTTTCTTTTCCGGCCGCTACAACTGGGTCACTTTCCGTCCCGGGAAGAGAAGGTTAGGGATTTTTTAGCAAAGTTTCTGTATTTGGTTTTACTTGAATTTAGACTTGTTTAGCTGTTTTTGGTTTGCTTAAATCTGCTATAGAGACCGTAAAATGGGGAATGTATGTGTCTGTGGGTTTGCTTTAGTTCATATTATCAAGTCATGGTTTGTTAGTAGCTTAGTTTAATGCTACTTGGAATTGCGCGAGAGTGGTGGGTGGGTTGTTCTAATTGCTCCCATGATATTCATTAACATATAATCGCAAATGAAATACGTGTTTTAACCTTTATTTTTATGGCACTTGAAGCTTATTGATGCATGTATCATTCTTTTCCAATTTTGGTTTCTTAAACTTGATTTATTATGGAAAGAAAACAGTGTTATAGTTGGCATCACCAATTGAACGTTTTTTCACATTTCTGGTTGCACGATTCAGAAAACAGTGCAATGTTTCACAGCTACTGTGTTTTGGCAACTCCAAATTCTTGCATTTTTTCTTTTATTCTAAGGGTCTGCTTCCAATAAGGGTCCTCACTATATATATGATGTCCTAAGAATCCTTTATTCTGATTGTTTCTTGTTTGCTGGGGGATTTATTTTTTACTTTTATAAATAGCAGGGATCCTTGTTCTAATCTGGAAAGTTCCATTTATGGGTTATCTCTGTAATCATGATGGTATAAGGATTATTGTTGTCATATTTGAGATTTTAAATGTTTATAGAAGGTTGTGCAGGATAGACGATTATCTAATTTATTTTTCCTTGAATTATATTTTTCAGCCAAAAGAATCCGTCATATTCTAGAGCCTACGTTGATTTGAAGAGGCCAGAGGATGTTATCGAGTTTGCTGAATTCTTTGATGGTCATCTGTTTGTTAATGAGAAGGGTACTGTTTAAGCTTGCTTTTGAGGAGATCTATTAGACACATCAATTGTCTTGCAAGGAGTCTTGTTAAATATCTCTGTATTCAACCTATGCGTATTTTATTTATTTATTTATGAAATTTCCTTTAGCTAAGACACACTTCTAACTCAGGGTGCGTAATGATGCAGCTCAGAAAGTATATAAACTGCTGAGTATTCTTGAAAGACTTAACTACTGTTCTCATAAAGTCTTCGTTATTTTCTATTTGACCCAGGAACCTTTCACAATCTGATATAAGACATGGAATTCTAAGAGTATTTATTTTCCATTTCCAGGCAGTCAATTTAAAGTTATTGTTGAGTATGCTCCTTCACAACGCGTTCCAAAACAGTGGTCTAAGAAGGATGGTCGTGAAGGAACCATATTCAGAGGTACTAAGTTAATATTTAAGATTCCTTGAAAGAAAATTTAACAGCTATCGTTTGTTGCATGCGGACTTATATACACAATCATTTTCCTGTTAGTAAGTACAAGTATTTACTTGATGAACATCTAGATCCCGAGTATCTGGAGTTTCTTGAATTTCTTGCAAAGCCTGCTGAGAATCTTCCTAGTGCGGAGATACAATTGGAGAGAAGAGAAGCAGAGCGCTCTGGTTAGTCAGACAGATTACTTAAATAGTCATATAATATTAATTTACAAAAAAGAAAAAAAAATCCTTTTATTGTACTTTTAAATTACCTTTTCTTCTTGCAGGTGCTGGAAAGGATGCTCCCATAGTTACACCATTAATGGATTTTGTTCGTCAGAAAAGGGCTTCCAAGGCTGGATCTCGGGTACTTTTAGTCTATATTACCAGAGATTAGGAAACATAACCTGATTAGTAGAAATATATACTTTCAGAATTACATGTTTGATTGCATAGTGCTCCAAAAATGGTTGGAATTGAGTTTTTGCTAATAATAATTGATGATTTTCTGAACATATTTCATGTTTCATGACAGAGGTCACTGACTAATGGTAAAACGAGCAGAAGAGCTAGTGGACCATCATCTAGAAGTCCAAGTTTAGCGACGAGCAAACGAGGTTCTGAGAGGAAAAGAAATTCTGCCACAATGGTACTCATGTTTTCGTGCATGTGAAGTTCATGAAATCACAAATATATATGCTGTTATTTTTCTCTGAACAAATAACTGTATGAGTGGCAAATCTCACTCTTGGCCTCCCATTAATTGGGCTTGAAATTAATTGATCTCGAAAACCCAGTTATCCAAAACCTCCACCTGGTTTGAAAATCTTTACTTTCCATCACATCATCTAGGAAATTTTAGTTAACATAGTTTAGCCTTTTTGAATTAATCTTAAAAGTTAAAACTTATTCCTTATCGTTTCTCGCGCGATGCTCCTTGACTACATTTTCCATTAAGATCAAGTATGGTATTTATCTACCTTAAACAATGGTTCTTCAGGTGTTAAGAAATTGCCTTGGCCAGACTCTTCCTCGATATTTCTGATGACAGCTTCATTAAGGCCTTATACAGACTCGTAACCAAATAGAAGGGTCGATATTCCTCAACTTTAATGACCGGAGTTTCACTGGAATCAAACAAATACATTCTGCATTAGTGCGTGCGGTTGCAATCCCATTTTTTGTTTTTGTTCTTTGAATATTATAATAACATGAGGTCTATGAAATTATTTAGTGATCATATTTGATCACAACTCATGTATATATGATGTCGTTGTACAAAATGTAGAACAGATAGAATTTAGAAGGATAATTGTTTTTTTTTTTTTTTTTTGGTATCGTTTGTATTTCAAAATTTTGAATTTTTAAATTGATTTTCTGTAGTACTTCTGGAACTGGAAGGCATTTTTTATTGATTTTTGTATGTCTTGTCCTCTTCCTGCTGGAATTTTTTTACCTTATTCAGGGGTTTTACATTATTTTATTTTTATTTTCTTGAAGGTGAGAGGTCTATGAGGTCTCTGATGTTTCTTATTTTTCATTTTCTCACAGTTCAGTTTGATTTGAAAACTTGAGCATCTATAATTGATTGCATGTCAAATTTTGGTTTAAGGGAATTAATATGTCCTGTCTGATTGGCAGTATGTTTTGAGGGATGCTAGAAAGAACACCAGTGCCAAAGACAAGTCAACTTACATTCTGGTACCCAAGCGTGATGATCAGCAACCTTCTGAAAAGTCTGTCACTTTGGCATCTGCAGCTGGAACTCGCATTTTGGAAGAGGAGAGTGGTATGATATTGGATTGTTTGGAAGTGTTTTTTGCTGATGAGTAGGCATTATTTGCCCTAATTAGAATATGACTTGTAAACTAGCACTCCTGCACTCATTTCTGATCATACAATGGGTTTCCTTGTCTATGAAGGGGAATGGTTATAACTTTTAGCAATTCTTTTAAACTTCCTAACATTTTACGTAGGGGTTCTTTTCCTTTTCATTCTTCTGGGTCTTGCGATTATGTTGAAAGAACTGTACTTTTCCTTCCAATCAATTCCTCATAGGCCTGGTGGATCTTGTACTTTTGTTCATATATGGAACTTAAGGTTTTTATTTCATAAAGATTGGAAGGTTGGTCATATTTTGGTTATAGTTTGATTTGGTTGATGCAATTTTTTTTTTTGAGCATTTGATAGCAAAGAAATTCTATTGTTTATAGGTTTCCCCGTTTCAATTTTTTCATTTAGTTTGATATACTTTTAATTTTAGTTAGAGAAAAATGGCAGTTCTGCAGTTGCAAGCTTATATTTGCATCCCTACACACTTTGAATATGTATGTTTCTTATCCACCCTCGATGAAATACCTGTTTCGAGGTAGAAATTATTTGTATCATTCATATTTCCGTGTTTTGGGCATTTGCGGTACTGGATTGTCATTGGTGAAGCTTTTTAAGTTTTATTTATTTATTTTCTGAATCTCTTCTGACAGTGACTACTTGTTTTTATTTTTATTTTTATCTTTAATTGTTTACCACCTCTTCTCTTATTGCAGGAGTTTCTGGTGCTGATGCTGTGAAAAAGAAAATCCTGCTTCTGAAAGGGAAAGAGAGGGAGATATCTCATGTAAACCTCTTTCTTACTGCCCAATCTCATTTACTAGGTTCTCGTTTTGTTTTACATATATTTATTTTCAATGGTGGGTGGAGAGGGTTTATTTGTATGTTGCAATATGGTTCTGCTAAGATGCTAGGTGATGGCAGTAAAATGTACATCCTAGTTTACTTTTTACACATCGTGAGATAATTTCCCTCTAGACTCAGATGTGATTGTGGAAAATAGGGGCTATGGACTGTAGTCATAAAGACATGTGCTTAGCTGCTGTCTAGACTGGAGTATATAGTCAAGTTGGATATAGTGCACATAGGTGGCAGGTGGGTTGAAAGGGTTTATTTCTATGTCCCTATGCAGTTTTGTTAATTTGCTAGATGATGACAGTTACAATTTTTTGCATATCATGACATCATTTTCCGCTAGACTCAGATGTGAAATAGTGGCTATGGCTGCATATAATGTAGTCATAAAGGCGTACATAGCTACTGTCTAGACTGGAATATATACTCAAGTTGGATATGGTGCACTGGGGTGACAGCTTCAATATGCTAAATTATATCGTGGGTTGTATTGTAGTATCATTTATAGAAATGATATCAACCTACAACTGAGCATGGCACTTAGTTTGCATGAGTTATTTATTATGTGCATTTTCCTCTGGAAAGTCTAGGTATTTATATATCAATTTTAAAGCATTTTATTCTTAAAAATCAACTATTAGCTGGTGCAAAGAATATGTTCATCTAATAAATACGGCAAAGCAGAAAGACTGGCTGAAGACCTTGCACTCCAAGTGATTTGGCCTCTTTTGACATCTGTTCATGTCTCAAACTCCTTGTGCAGGTTCCGGCGAACATGATACAGCAGCAGAGTTCATCTGCTAAAAACATGGGTGGTACAATTGCACTGAAACAAAACCTGCGCCGTCAAGAAAATGGGAGGATTATAAGAGGAATACTTCTAAACAAGGATGCACGTCAAAGTCAGTCTTCTGGGATTTACTCTGCGCAACAAAGCCAGACTTCAAATTCAGATAGGGACAAACGACCTCCTCGGTCCCAACACGTGCAATTGATTTTAAAGGATACAAATGGCACTCCAGATTATAATATTGTTGGGAATGACTTGCATGGTATTTGTAGTGAGAAGCAGGAGAAACGGATAAGGAATAAGGAGAGACCTGATCGTGTTGTATGGACTCCTCTAAATCGTTTAGATGGATCATCTGCAAGTGATGAGTCTTTGTCATCTGCTTTTCAACCTGCTCACTCACAGCTAGATTCTTCAGAAGGTGTGACTTATATTCAAAGAATTGTTTTTAGGGTTACACTGCTGGGTACTCTTCAGATCAATGTTTATATTCCTTGCCATGAATATTTTATCATATTGTGGACAGATGTAGCAAAAATTATTGTTGAAACCTTTAAGAGATTGTGAGGCATAGTTTTGTGTGTTGTCACTGTGTTCTAAATCTAATTGTAAATTGCTACGTTTTAGGAAGTCGTGGAAATATGAGATTTGACACATCAAATTCTCTGATTGGGGAAAACCAAGGTATTAACTATCCATGTTAGGGGGCATGTTGAGTGTCCAAAAACACAAATATGGACGGAGAGATTGACAAAATTTCTCTATTAAACATTTGAGAGAGAAAATGGAAATATGAGAAGAAAAACCTAATGCGTGAAACTTAAAAAGCTATTTATTTGATCAAGTATCTTCTATTTTGACTAGCAACTGGTCCTTGGTCCTTGGTAGTGTCTTTGCAACTGGACATAGCAATCATTCTTTTTAGGTCATTTTGTCTTTGGGAACTTTGATTTTAAATGATGTTTCTATATGATTCACGAATGTTTTTCCACATTAAAGCATCTATGCATCTGTGTTGGTGCATTTTGATTGATGTAGTAATCATTTGGACATTGCTGATATTTGATGTAGGCTCCCATAAACATCATGGTCGCCGAGGAACAACACATGGTGTTAAGGATCTTGATGGCTCACCGGTTGCAGGTGAAGGAAAACATTCAAAAAGAGGCTATGGCTCCCATGAGGTGCTTCAACTTTGTTTTGCATGCTTGCTTACGTGCATTCAGTAGTCAGTCTCTTATTTTTTTACTCATTGTGGTATGGGTGGTGAAACGTTTACTTAATGTGTGTGCAGAAACAAGTGTGGGTTCAGAAGTCAAGTTCTGGTTCTTAAGGATTTTTTTTTCTTGCATTGGTAAGCTCTTGGAAGATTAATTTTGGCTCAATTTTATATCATCATCATCATCATATGTGTGCTCTGTCGTTCCATTGTTTTGTATTTTACGCAGTATCTTGTATTAAATCCAACTTTTTAGAATTTTTCTATTACTTATTTTCCCCTAGTCTTTGTCTGTCTCTTGGTGTTTTACCTTCTACTTTCATTTGGGCACCTTTTGTTGTCTAGAAATTATGATGCATATGTCGCTCCCACCTAAGCCTAATTTCTGGTCTTTTCACTAATAGGTTACTTTCGCTGTTTCTCTAAAACTTTGATTTTTAATTGTCTTTTCAGCATCCCGAATTTCAGAGAAGTACTATTTAAAAAATTGAGTTGTCTCTGTAGAAGTTCATAAATATGCTGACAATCTGACATAAAAAGTGTCCATGAATGTAATCTCAATAAATTGATATTCTCAACGTGTGCCTGATGTTGATGAAACCCTGGATTCATGGATTGCAATAGTTCTTAATGCTACCATTTTTAGAACTCTGGCATACACGACTACATGAGTTTGATAACGAACTCTAGTTTCTTTTAAAGTTTCATATCTTTCCAGAGGCTTCTCTCTGCTGCTGTATGTTTTCCTTGGCTTGGGAATCTCTTTTTACAGTCTGACATTGTTAATCCATTGATGCTCTACCAGCATGAAAGATAATATAATAGATATTGTGTTCATATGGTATATGTGCTAGGTAATTAAGAAATCAATGTATGCATGATTTAGTATGTGTCGAAATAATTGGAGAAAGGGGGCCAAAAGGCTCATTTTACAAGAGGCTTAGCTGGGATTTTGTCTTTTATAAATGACTTATATTGGCTATATGTTTATTACTTTGCAGTGTGATGTTTGGCTACTTGAACCTTCGTAGCATGCATGTTGCATTGGCCTGAGGCTGTCTGTTTTTCTGGACGGATTACCAGGTGTAAACGAAGTTTCAGCATCCTTTTGGAAAACCATACCGAATGAAGGAGATGTGGGTATATAAATATATTATGGGTTTGAAGAAAGCGCATGTTTGTTGTTGACAGCATGGAAATAGGAGGGAAAAGGAAAAACAGAAAAAGACATCAGCATCATTAACGTATATAACAACACAGTTTTTATCACGGTGCCCACACCAACGGGTTCCTCTCAGAAGAGTTATGGATAGTCATTCTTGTCCTTGACTGGTTATCAGGATATTTAGGTTTTATAGGTGGATGATGTCGTCCATTAGTTAAACTGTAAATATAAAAACGGAGCACTATATACGGCTTTAAAGTTTGTTTATTTCTACAACGAGTTAGCATTGTTTAAAGGCCCTGGTATCTTCTCCAGTACTCTGAAGGGGTTTTGTTTTGAATAGAAGACAACTTCAGCCCTTTTGCAACTGATGGCCGGTGGTTGACTATAATTGGAGTTGATATAGACTGATTGGTTGGGTCTATGTTTTGGCAGTGTTTCACCTTGTTTTAACGGAGACATTGCTTTGCTGTTATATGAATGAGATTGTATAAAGATTGTCTAGTGCTTTAATTGCAGAACATAGTTTGTGTTGCCTCTCACTCTCTGTGTGTGCTGTTATATGAGATCCCTCTCTCTCTTCCTCTGCTGTTATATGAGATTGAATACAGGTTGTGGTAGTGTTTTAATTACCGGAACATTATTTGTGTTGCCTCTCTCTCTCTCTCTCTCTCTCAGAAGGCATTGTTTTGCAAACTTGGGAGATGACTCTTCGCAGCGTGTAGATTGTATTGCTTTACCTGGCTAGCCTGATGGCTGTTGACTTCTGATTGGTCATTCTTCTGGATTGACTTGCCTTTTTTTTTAGGTTTTAAAATTAGCTTTTCAATCATTTCAACTTAATAATACACTTCAAATTGGACGGGAACAGGAGCTGACTGGAGTTTTGGATAGCTGCTGCATCTTGCAAATTCAGTCCTAGATGCAAAAAGAAAAAAAGAGAGGATAAATCAGATTTGTTCTACTTTTGTGGGGTGTTTTTTTTTAATTATTTATTTCTGACCTGGATAGTAGAGAAATAGACACGGTTCCTGACTGCCTGCCCTGCAATCGTTGGGAAGAAAAGAAATAGAATGAAAGGCCTAAAAAAGTTTGGAGTTTTGGGCCCAAAAAAGTCTTTGCTCTTGATGGATAAAATAACAAATAAATCAATGGATGGAGATAGAAGTGGAACCGGAAGCAGCAAGAAAAGAAAAGAAAACTGGGGACGTGGTTAGCGTCAAAACTACAAGTCTACTCCAGACCAACCAAGCACTCAAAACTCAAAACTGAGAGCATTGACATATACTGAGAAAAGAAAAGCTGAGCTTGCATTTCGTTTCATTGCATTGCATGTGTTCTTCTCAAAGGAGTTGTCCTTTTCTTATCGCTTATCAACTTTGGTGGTAATGGCAGCATTTCCAAATAATACTCTTCGGTCTTTCAAACCTCTCTCTCCCAACTCCTCAACGGTCAGAAATTCCGTTTTGGCCCGAAATTCCGTCAGTCAGGTGCCTTCTTCAACTGGAGCTGTCTCTGTCAAAGAAAAGAGATCCTTCCCAGGTGGACTCACTCTCTCACACTCTCTCTTCTGGGTTTTCTTCACCCAAGTGTTACAGTTAAAAATTTGAATTATTTAGTAGTTTAGTAGTAGTTTTGTTGCTTTGCTTCCTTCATGTCATCATGTGCAATGCTATTCCATTACTAAAATGGATTCTTGAATCTGAATTAGGCAAATGAGATTGAGGTAGGTAGAGGTTTTGTTTTCTGATGTCCAACTTAATCAGCTTCTGAGATTTTAGTTTGAGGGTTAGGAAGGATTCTTGGTTAAGGAAATGGGACGTGTCAAACGCTCCATGCGTGGTTTCCAGTTAAAATGTCTTTTCCTAACTGCCGAAATGAGATAGTTAGTGTTGCATAATCTGGTCTTTTGATGCATAACATTTTCAATGATTTTCTGAAGATCGCCGAATCCTCCTCTCCGTAGTTGTTTCAGTAGTTTTCTGATAAATGCCTCCATTTATTGTGCAGGGAAACCAGAGGCTGATGTTGTAGTCATTGGAAGTGGTATCGGTGGATTGTGTTGCGCCGGGCTCTTAGCTAGGTACCAGCAAGATGTTCTTGTCGTAGAGAGTCATGATCTGCCTGGGGGTGCTGCTCATTCGTTTGACATTAAAGGCTTTAAATTTGACTCTGGCCCATCTCTGTTCTCTGGTTTTCAGTCAAAAGGCCCTCAGGCTAATCCTCTTGGTCAGGTAATTTGTTCCTTCATTTTTCTTTTGTTGCTTTTCGGTCATTATGATAAGGACTCATTTGTAGTGTCAGTCAAGGTTTGCTTTAGATTTACTTTCATTTCTTTCTATTAATAGCATAGACAAATTTGCAGCACAACAAAAATCGATATTAAAAAAAAAAAGCAGTCTAAATTTCAATCCAAGATCAAAATCATTGAGGGAGTTTGCTTGGAATGTGGGCATTAACTTGACCCAGGTTAGGTGATATAATCTTTACACTGACATTTCTTCCTTTCATTTAGTACATTATGAGTTGGAACTTTAGGCTGTTTTCAGGAAAGATAGTCAAAAGATTTTTCATAGAGTTGACTTTAAAGCAATGTCTAAGAAAACTTGGAAATGAGTCCAATGATTTGCTGATTCGATGATTTTCCAGGTTCTGGATGCATTGGGTGAGACAATTTCTTGTGCTAGTTATGATTCATGGATGGTCTACTTACCTGAAGGTGAATTTCTGTCGCGCATTGGCCCCACAGAATTTTACAAGGTGGATTATGATTGTTGAGGTTTCATCATTTTAATCATTGGTTTGGCTTATGAGGCTTATTGTTGCTTTTGTATCTCTCGGATCATTCTTAACCCTGCAAGAGTAGACGCTACCTAATCATTAATCAATAAACTTGCCTATTGCTTGTGTTGCTAGATTATTTCCTATCCCCTTTGTTGCTGTCTAACCTCTTTCTAATGGTTAGTTTGTCCCAGAAATAATTCACTGAGCAGTTTATAGTCAAGGAGTTTTCACTCACTGTGTTTAGTTTTTCTTCCCCTTCCAGGACCTGGAGAAGTATGCAAGTGCAAATGCTGTTCGAGAATGGAAAAAACTTCTTGTGAGTACCATCAATAATGGGGGAATTTTTGTGCGGACATAATTAGGTTTAATATTTTGAAATAAAAAGGACAAAGTAATGATCATTAAATTGGTTGGTATCCTTTGGCCTTTAGAAAGCTCATACTGGAATATATGGTTTCTTCTAAAATGAAATACCTATGTATATACCTCCATATTCTTGTCACAGCAGTTTTCTTTTGGGTTACCTCTCATAGGAAAAATGAAACTCTTCTACAGGATGCCATTCTTCCATTGTCTGCAGCTGCAATGGCTCTGCCTCCACTTTCCATCCGAGGGGATTTGGGTGTTCTTTCCACTGCCGCTGCAAGATATGCTCCCTCTCTCTTGAAATCTTTTGTACAAATGGGACCTCAGGGAGCACTTGGTGCCACAAAGCTTCTCAGACCATTCTCAGAAATCATTGACTCATTGGAACTCAAAGATCCCTTTATACGTAATTGGGTGGACCTATTGGCTTTCTTGCTTGCTGGGGTGAAATCTAATGGTATACTTTCAGCAGAGATGGTAAATAATATGCATTAATTCCTACAGAAATCTCTTAGGGATTGCTATAATAACTATGCTTAGCATATGCTTTGCTAGAAGCTTGTTTCGAGTTCTGTGCTTGTTGTCCAACTTGTTATATGCAATACGCCACATATAGGTGCCTAATGATTTTTCTGATTCTTTAACTACATGTTTAGCTATGGTAGGTTACTTTTGGTTTTGGTGGTGAACAATATCTGATTATTGCTAAATGTTAGTTTATAGCCGCTACAATGCACCAATCCCCTATAACTCTTAAGTTGATACATATTCACATAATTATCTTTCATCTTACCATCTTGATATCACAAATTGTACAGCTTTTGTAATTGCAACTAAGTGTACTGTTCTATTTATTTTTTAGGATACTTTGAAATGCATCTGTTTTAGAGTTAGCTCATCTGTTAAGTGTTACATCCCATTATTTCTTATTTATATGATTTCCAGTTTTGAACATATATGTAAGTTTGATGTAAGATGTTGTCATATGACTACAGCATCACATAATACTTCTTTTTTTCTTTCCAATTTTTCAGATTTACATGTTTGCGGAATGGTATAAGCCAGGCTGCTGTCTTGAGTACCCTCTTCATGGAAGTGGTGCAATTGTTGATGCTCTTGTTCGGGGATTGAAGAAGTTTGGTGGACGGATGTCTCTTGGAAGTCATGTGGAAAAGATTGTTGTTGAAAATGGTCGAGCCACTGGAGTCAAGCTAAGAAGTGGTCAAGTAAGTAAATTATGTGTGATAAAATATACTGTGAAGTCTTTAAACTGAATTACTTTTAGTTTGATGTTAACACTCGAACAAACATTTATGCTGCAGTTTATACGTGCTAAAAAGGCTGTTGTTAGCAATGCCTCTATGTGGGACACTCTAAATCTATTACCTAAGGAAGTTGTTCCAAAGTCATATCTGGACAGGACTAAGACGACTCCTCAATGTGAATCATTCATGCATCTTCATTTGGGATTTGATGCAGAGGTGAGTGTTCTTATAAGAAGCTGACATAAGTAGTAACATGATCCAAATTCTCTCTCAAATAATGTGTTCAAAATTCTTCTTAACAACCAGGACGTACGGAAGGACTTGGGGATTCATCATATAGTTGTTAATGATTGGGATAGAGGAGTGGATGCTGACCAGAATGTTGTTTTGATATCTGTACCTAGTGTACTAAGTCCGGATCTGGCACCACCTGGGAAACATGTGTTACATGCTTATCTTCCAGGAACTGAACCCTTTGATTTGTGGAAAGGATTTGACCGTAAAAGCTCTGCATACAAAGAGCTCAAAGCTGAGAGATCTGAGGTACTTACATATGCTACCTACATTTATTGTCATTCAATTTATTAATTCTGCAGCGCTTGACTAATCTGTATATCCAGTGAATAAATTTAGTAAAAGTTAGCCACATTATTTTGGCTTAGTTGATTTAGTCATGTAGTGTGAGCCAATCATGTAGAATCCAATTGCAAACTTACGGCCACTCTTATTAATTGAATTCAAAGAAGACCATATATATAGTGCAGCCTTACAAAAAGAAAAGCCAAATATAACCCCTAGTACAATTACAGAGACCTAACCGACATATAATATACACCAACTTCTCGCACAATATGTTGATAGTGTACAATTGATAAATCAAATTCTATTTTCCTTTGTGGTTTCTCAGATGTTGATCAGCTAAGACTAGTGAAACTTAGCATGAGCAACATTTCATGTTTCTCTAAGATCAAGTTTTCAGTTTATTAACTAGAAACTTGAGCAAGTGGAAAGATTTTAACCTGCTGTTTTAAAAACCTGTTAATCAGCTGAGACTCGTAACTTTATCTAGCAATATAACATATTTTTCTGAAATAGGAATAATTTCATGGGAGTTCTGGAAGGTTCTTGAGGGAGGAGTTATCAGTTCCTGATGTATATTTTCGGTCTGTGTTGCTCTTGCTTTGTTTTCTCCGAGTTTGTCATTTTTCTGTTGTTGGTTTGAATTCTTCGCGATAATCTCCACCCCGGCCCCCCTTGCCCAAAACTCCTTTCTCAAAAAACAAATAAAAAAAGGTTCGTTCATTTCTGTGGTCAAGAAATTTGACTCATAATTGCATTAGTTTTCTCTCAAGTTGATGAGCAATAACATTGGTGCCATTTTGACTCACTGGCCATCAATGATGTAAGTAGTGAGAACCTAGCCTCCTGTACGTTATGTCATGATCAAGATTCTTAAATTAGAAAAATAACAAAACACAAAAACCAGTTATTTGAATAAAATCTGGTAGACTTTCTTATATCCTTAGCAGGATTTTAGCAAATCCAGTGGTACTTCACACCTAATTCTTTTTTTTATTTATTTCCCATTTAATTGTGTATCTTTTTTTCCCTTCTGCTTCTGCTTTGCTGGGTGTGGACAGGTTTTCATGGTTAAAATGCATGCATCGTATGAGCTCACATGGCAGCTTTCTGTTTTTTTGTTTATATGTGTGTGCGTCAGAGATATAGATAGAGATGGCAACAGTCATGTTCGTTTGTTTTCCTCAACTTTGAAAAATGCCTCAAAACATGGAACCCCATTAGTTAAATATATGATGCCATAATACGAAAACAATTGGTCGGTTTTTACCATCAAAGCTCAGCAAAACTTTCCATGTAAACTGGAAATCAACAGTAGGAAATAGTCTTTCTAACATTTGCATATGGCTGAATATCACCTTCTCCCCACCGGCCCCTTTAAAGCTTACCTGATTAAGTTCCATTCTTACACTTCATTAAATCATTGTCCTATCTCAATTTGTTACTGTTGTAACAACTTCTGATCTCTTTTATTTTTCTTATCCATTGCTTATGATTCATCACTTGTAATTCAGGTTATGTGGAGAGCCGTGGAGCGCGCAGTTGGTCCTGGCTTTAGCCGAGAGAAATGTGAGGTTAAGTTAGTCGGATCTCCATTGACACATCAGAGATTTCTCCGAAGGAACCGAGGAACATACGGACCAGCAATACAAGCTGGTAAAGACTCTTTCCCAGGGCATTCTACTTCCATCCCTCAGCTTTATTGTTGTGGAGATTCTACTTTTCCTGGCATTGGAGTCCCTGCAGTTGCTGCAAGTGGTGCCATTGTAGCCAATTCACTAGTTTCTGTGTCTCAGCACTCTGAACTTCTTGATGCCATTGGAATTTGAATACATGGTAGTCTAAGATTTGTATTGTTTATACAATTTTTTTTTTCGTATTAATTATTTCATCCTCTGAGAAATGTATTATATACACTGCCACATTCTCTGAATGGATGATAAAATATTCTGTATGTACTATTGAAACATAAAATAAGGAGTATTAAAAGAAAGAAAATGTGGTTCCCTTTTATTTAAATTAATATCATTACTTCTTTTGTTCCCTTTATGTTATGTAAAGTTCTGTTGCCTGTAGGTATTTTGCTTCTTTTCTTTCTTAATTTTTTTTGGTAAACAAATATTTATTTTTCTTGATACATATTGTTATTTTAATGTGGGCTCTACGAATCATTTCACATTATTTCTTTTAGATAGGTGGCGTAGCATAATTCCTGTATTCATAACTTGTTCCACAATTCAGTCTTAAATTGTTGGTATTTATTTATGCTAGTCAATATATAACTCATATGCAGCTTCAACTAACGGAGAGAGAGAGAGACGAAAGAGAGGAGGGTTAAGAGGAAGGAAAGGGAGGGGAAACGGAAAACGGGATGGAAATAAAAGATGGCCACCAACCCCCAAAGGGGCGGCGGCTGAGCTTTCACAGAGAGAGAGTTTTTCTTTCAGCTAGGGTTTTCACATGTCCTTTGTTTTTTTTTGAAGAGCCTCGCGTACGAGGAAAGAATACTCATAAAAACAAAGCAGAAGGACGAGGGGGGCGAAAAGCCTGACCTCGAGTACAACTATCGACATCAAGGGCGTCCTGAATAAAATCAGGGGGCACCTCGACCCATTCACATGGGTGCGAACAGTTAACAGCAAATTTAGCTAAACAATGAGCTACACCATTGGCCTCACGGCGAACAAAACTAAAGCAATCCCTCCGGTGATCCCGCAAGCTAGATTGAATATCTTCGATAAGCTGCCCCAAGGGGGACAAGTTTACCACGGAAGAGAGAACATCCTGGATAGTATTGAGCGAGTCACCCTCAAACCTGACCGTCTGCCCCCCCATCTTCCACCAAAACCGAACAGCCTCAAGAGCCGCCAGGCACTCAACATGTTCCGCAGAACTAGCAAATAGCACACGCTTCGCAAGGGCTGCCAGAAATCTCCCATTTTCATCCCTAATGACAATCCCAACACCCCCCCCAGTCGACCCAATGTGGAAGGACCCGTCGAAGTTGATTTTGATCGTGCCTGAAGGAGGGCAGCTCCAGCAACTTGCACCCAGAGAGGCATGACTACCCGTAGGTTGGTCATTAGCACACCGGAACTCCTCCATATATAGGTCTTAAACCCAATAAATAAATAATTGTTTTTTCGTTTCAACATGACAAGATGAGGAGTGAGGAAGTCAAAATACTTGATTGTCTCTACATTTGGCCTTACTATAATATTGTCAAATTTGAGCAATTTTATATGCACATCTGATTTCTTTTTTTTTTCTTTAAACCATTTGAATACACATATTTTGATATTCTACAATGAAAACTGTGGTTTGGATGAAGATAGAGATGGAATGTTATGTGCATGCAGAGAGATATTTATACATGAATGATCATTAAGTAACAAAAAAGTCAACATAATGGAAGGTTACCGGTCGTCCCCAGGATGAAGATGTTGACCCACAAGACCATTTGGATTGAGAGCTAGCATATTGAAGTGGTCCTGCTGCTGCTGCTGGATCATGTCATGTTATTACCAAATTATATATATATAGTCTTATAAAATATTATACGCCTCTCACTATCTTATCTAACATGAGATGAGCGGTTTTATTGTCGAATTTAAAGATATTTTAATTAGTGAGTCTTTCAATAAAATTATTAATTCGCTAATAAAACCGCTCATGGCCGATAATACAAGAAAAACCACTTGATTAAGAAACTTTAAAGTCGTGAGTATTTTGGAGGGGAGATGAGCAAGCCTTTTAGATAAGACTAGTATTCACAAAACTATTTGTACGATATTATTATCCGACTACATTAAATATAACGTTACTATTATCATAATGTAGAGAGGGAAATGATAATGATATCGACAATAGAGACATTGTTAACAAAGATAGCGTATTAGCGTTGGTCGGCAGCTGCTAAAGGCTTGCTGATGTGACGTGGCACTGCCTGCAAAAGAATAAAACAAGTTGCTTACAATTTACAAGTGTTTTGATGAGATGCAGGCAAATTGGTGAGCCCTAATTATAGAAACATTTGAAGGATATAAAATCTTGCATCGTAAATTTGTCAAAATAAATACATGAGTATGTGGTTTCACCATAAATAACATTAAGGTCTTTTATGACAAAATATCACACATGTCGTGTGTTGTACATGTTGGAAATTGTAGATCAAATACAACTGTTTCACATCAGAAAAATAATTGTGCATAAATGGGTATATTAAGTGGTAGCGTTCTCTCTCTCTAAATTGCACTCGTATCTTTTGAGATAAAACCTCATATTTAGATGGTTCATGAGCCTAATCAACCATGAAAGATCTAGATGGCGAAGTTTAGAACAATTAGTATCAGAGCCAATGAACGACTTGGGACACTTGACGCATCATTATTTGAGGTGGAGTACATATCTAAGTCTGAAATCAAGAGAGAGAGACAAAGAAGAGAAGATGAAAAATTTCGGTGGGAATGGAAAGTGGAGATCTAGGGTTCAATTTCTTTCGTCACTAACATTGGGAAATATTCATCATTTTATTACTCTCGGTTTAGATCAAGCGAACTGATGGTTTGAAGATTGTAAAAAGTGGCTAAAATATATAGATATTACTTGGAGTTACTAATGTTATTTGAATATTAATTAGACTTATTAATAATGTTGGATATAAATGAATAAGTAAACTTAACATAACTATTTTCTGACTGGGTTCACCGGTTCAAATGCCCACCCCTAGTCTTGGGGACGATGTGTTAGCATATCAACTTTTTATTTTCTTGTTGTGTGTTGCAATTTTTTGAGTTTTATAAGTGAATCAACTCTTTTTGAGTTTGTTGCGTGTTTATAGTCTCTACTTATAAGTTTTACTTGTGAGATTTTAAAAGTTGTAATTACAGTTGTAGTTTTGTGCGTTGAGGTATTTGCGGGGTTTTTTCAAGCTTGTGGCTTTTATGCTAGAATTTATACACCTAGCTAGTGTGCTTGATGTTATCAATGGACTCGTCCATATTTGGATTAACCCTGTGATTACTATGCTTATGTCTTTGTATCAATCATATTGGCCTTTGTGGTTGACGACCTCGCTTATAAATGCAATTTATCTCATTTTTTTAAAAGAAAAGAATTTGCAAAAAATTAAATGTTCTAAAAGCTTTTAAATTTGTAATACCCCCAAAAAAAAAAAAAACAAAAAACTGTTAAGGAAAAACAAGTGCATAATCATCTACATTCCCCTCCCCTCCTCTAGTTTTAGATAAAGAGTAGAGTATAGTATAACCATCATCAGCGTCTTATTTGTCCCAACTCCATTATTCTTTGTTTGTTTTGAAAACAACCCAAAGCTGTCCACTTTCTCTCTCTCTCACCGCTCAAAACTCAGAGAAAAAGAAAACCAAAAAAAAGCTCAAAAAGTTAATTGATTTTCCGTAATATTAATAATATTAATAATTATAATCTGATCAACTACAGTTCACTCTCTCCGATCAACCCTTTTTTCTTGTGCAATTTTTTCTGCTCCAATCTCAAAATTCGAAGAGCAAAATTTAAAATGCGCGAGCTCTGCTTCGAGGCCTCTCCGAAACGCTTGCAGGTCAGTCTTCTAAACGATCCATCCGTTTACAAAATCTCTGAATTTTTAATGTATTGAATTCACTGGTGATTTTTTTTTTGGAGATTGATTGATTTTGAAAGATCAGCGTTCATTTTAATGTGTTTTGCATTCGAATTTTGTGGTTAAAATAGAAAGTTGGAGTGAGTTTGGTGTGGATCTGAAAGTAAATTAGTTAACTTTAAATTGAAGTTTCTTTATTTTTTTGGCTTTCATTTCTGTTCAACAGTCCGTCTTAATTTCTTAGTTGTTTTTTTATTTTTTTCAATTTTTCAAACCTGTAAAAGACCCTTAAAGAGTTTTGATTTTCTTTTTCTTTTTCTTCTTGTTGTTTAATAGAAAGATAGGTGCTTGGATGGGACGGGACGCAGAAGTAGAGAGTATTGCAAGGTTGAGAAGTACTAGCATCTGCGGTAGTGATCAGACATTGTTATGGCGTCTGCTAGCTTAGGGAACGGTGGAGTTGGCAGTTCAAGGTCGGTGAATGGCTTCAAGAGTTCGTCTAGTTCGGTTGACTGGCTCGGGAGGGAGATGCTTGAGATGAGATTGAGAGACAAGCCGGATCATGATGAGGATAGAGTAAGCCTTGTGCATTTTAAATTGTTTAAGAAACATGTCAATTGTTGCAACTATGACATGAAAAATGGTGGGTCTTTACATTTCTAACAAGCAACAGGTGAGCAAAATGAACTAGGCACCTGCTCTATTTGAATGTGACTGGTTTTGACTATAATTTGGTGTTTTTGCTACACTCAGTTGACAGTTCTTACTATTTCTTCTGTTGTAGGATAGTGAACCGGATGTCATTGATGGCGTGGGTGCTGAAACAGGGCATGTAATACGAACAACTGTTGGTGGTCGAAGTGGTCAATCTAGGCAGGTTGGATAAAAATCTATTTGCGTTCAAATTTAATTTAGTAATATTTTAAATCAGAAGTGGTGATTTCTTATATCTTTGGTGACTTACATTTTGTTTCATTGTTTGGTTTTGACAGACTGTGAGTTATATTTCAGAACATGTGGTTGGAACTGGTTCTTTTGGTGTTGTTTTCCAGGTAGATAAATATTTTGCTCAATTAAAGCCACCTAATTTTCCAATGAATTAGTGTTGATAAAACTTTCTTTGCACAGGCAAAATGTAGAGAAACTGGAGAGATTGTTGCTATCAAGAAGGTCCTTCAAGACAAGCGCTACAAGAATAGGGAGTTACAGATTATGCAAATGTTGGATCATCCAAACATTGTGGCCCTAAAGCATTGCTTCTTTTCAACCACAGACAAAGAAGAGGTTTACTTGAACCTCGTACTTGAATTTGTTCCTGAAACTGTTAACCGTATTGCGAGGAACTATAGTAGGATCAACCAGCGGATGCCCTTAATATATGTTAAACTTTACACCTATCAGGTATCAAATTGTCTTGATTCTTAGTTTTCTCCTTTGGTTTAATTGTATTTTAACACAATCTACTGCATGAATCTTGCTCCACAAACGAGCATAGGGGCTATGGCTACTACGTAATTTGAATTTCTATTAGTGTCTCATATTTTTTAAAGTATTGTTTTCTATTTTCCGACTTTATTTTGGTGCAGATCTGCAGGGCTCTTGCTTATATACATAATTGCATTGGAATCTGCCATCGTGACATTAAGCCTCAGAACTTACTTGTAAGATATTTTCTTTTTCCTTCTCGAAGAACTGGGTGCTCTTGTATAACACTTTATCTGTATGCTATCTGCCACACCAATTCCCTGGGTTCCTAAGCGGAGCCAGTGGTCCCTCTCTAAGAACCATCTGGGTGAAGTTGAAAATTGTTTTCCCATTTGGTTATCATCATCATTTCAATGTTTATTATCAGAAATACTGTCATTGTCTATTTGTCTGTTGACAATTGGATGTATAAATAATTTCCCATATGGCTAATTTGCAACAATATTTCTTGATCCGGTACATTGCAGGGTGGCCCTCCAAGGATGTCTGCACTTTTTTTTTACTTTTATAAATGTGGATGTCCTCTTTAGAGAATTTTCGTATGCGTATATGTGTGTGTGTGGATGTATTCTGTGATTCGAATTTTTGATCATGCTCTAATGCTACCTGTTATTCAGGTGAATCCTCACACGCATCAGCTGAAACTTTGTGATTTTGGAAGCGCAAAAGTATTAGTAAGTATTTCAGGTCATCCTGTTTACCGACGAAGGGGTCTTTCTTAATTTCATTTATTGACAAAGGTCCCCTGTTTCCATTGTATCAGGTGAAAGGAGAACCAAATGTTTCTTACATCTGCTCAAGATATTATCGTGCTCCAGAATTGATATTTGGTGCCACTGAGTACACAACTGCTATTGATATATGGTCTACAGGTTGTGTGATGGCTGAATTACTTCTTGGGCAGGTGGTTTGGTACTCAAATATGTGAATACTAACTTGTTTTATTTTTTATTTTTCCTTAAAAGTATTTAATATTGTCAAGCCAACTTCTCTTGCAGCCCTTGTTTCCTGGCGAAAG